AGGATATCTAAAGAGAAATGTTGGTACTAAGAACTTAAAGATCTTTTCCATGCTATACAAATCTATGGTTCGTCCTATTCTTGAATATTGTGCACCAGTTTGGAGTCCGCACTTGAGAAATGACATTTATGCTCTGGAGAGAGTTCAAAGACGCGCATTCAGGTGTGCCCATGGTAAAGACCTGTCTTACCAGGAAAGATTGAATATTCTACGGATGAGCGAAGAGAGTATCTATCACGGGTGGAATGTTTTAAGACAGTTCATAGTTTAAGTGGTCTAAATCCATCTTTATTTACTTATGCCAGTGCCTTTCGTCCTCTCCGCTCTAATCATTGTTACAAATTGAAAGTCAAATCAGCGAGATTAAATTGTAACAAGTACTCATTCTTTGTCAGAATCGTAAACCCGTGGAATAAACTACCTAAAGACGTAACTGAAGCAGAATCTCTGGGAACATTTAAGACCAAAGTCAAGAATTACCTTTTTTAATAATATTTTAAATAGTTTTACCTGATTTTAATCCTGTTCTTAAAGCGAACGAAATTAGCTGGAGCTTAGATTCTGATGGTGTTCCAATTGTTGTTCCAACTTCTATTATAACCAACGCTTACAACGAGATCGTATCCTTGTTCCTTATGGTCGAATTGGCAGGGATTTTAAAGAGGAACTTACATCTCGCATAAATGATTGGAATAATGGAACAGGCCCCCAGCACATATCATTGAAAGCCGTGTTCGTTTACCTTGCCGTCGCACTGCAAAAACCAAGCCGAAAGTCAAAAGCAAAAGATCACCAGATTATCCTATGTAAACGCATTGAAAAGTAGAAAAGAGGAGAAATTGAAAGTTTAGTACGAGAGGGAAGAATCATACATAACCGCATCGGAAAGTTTAAAGGAGTAGACCCACCCAACAAGGCTAAGGTGTTTCCCAAGCTCATAATGGAGAGGCAGATCAATTCAGCTCTAAGATTTCTGAATGAATCCACCAGTGGCTGTGTTTGTCTCTGACAGACGATGTCATGAAACAGTTGAAAGAGAAACACCCAGATCCACTGCCGGCTAAACTTGGCTCTGTTCTACTCGGGCTAATCGAAGACGAGATGTGTACGTACAGATTAACGAAGAGATGATCAGAGAAGCTGCTCTGAGAACAAAAGGAGCAGGGGGCCTGTGTGGAGTAGATACAAATGGTTTTCGAATACTTCTTGTATGCAAGTCCTTCAAGCAGTCATCTCAGTGCAAGGCTGTGTGACGCCTTAGCCCAACTAACAAAGATCTTGTGCACCCAGTACATCGACCCCGCCACTATAGAACCTCTCATGGCAATTCGTTTGATTCCATTGGATAAGGGTGAGGGGGCGGTCAGACCAATTGGCATTGGTGAAGTCTTGATAAGGATTTTAGCGAAGTGTGTTATGAATGTCGCCAAAGAAGACGTAGCTGAAGCTAGTGGTTCACTCCAACTCTGTGCGGGCCAAAAGTCATGAAGTGAAGCGGCGGTGTATGCCATGCATGATGCATTTGAAGCTGATGATATCGATGACACACTATTGATTGACGCAACCAATGCATTCAATTCGCTCAATAGATCTGCAGCTCTACACAACATTCGCATTTTGTGTCCTATTATATCAGTCTTTGCAATCAACACCTACAGGCTTCCTGCGCGGTTATTCATCACCGGAGGCAAGGAAATTCTTTCAGCAGAAGGAACTACTCAAGAAGATCCGTTGTCAGTGGGAGTTTATGCCTTGAGTATACAGGCCCTAATAACAGCCCTACAGGCTACTTCAAGCACAAAGCAATGTTAGTTTGCTGATGACGCGAGCGGAGCAGGCTCTCTGGGTGAAGTAAAGAAATGGTGGGACACCCTCGCTACAATTGGTCCTGCGTTTGGCTTCTTCCCAAATGCTAGGAAATGTTGCATCGTTGTCAAGCCTGAGAAGGAAGAGTCAGCCAAAGACGTGTTTAAGTCAACAGCTAGCAATATTACAAGTGAAGGCCATAAACACCTTGGCGCAGTGATTGGCTCACAGGAATACCGAAAAGAGTATGTCGATGAAAAGGTATCAGAATGGGTCAGCGAAATAGCCCAACTCGCGGAATTTGCTGCAACCGAACCACAAGCTTGTTACTCGGCTTATACGTTCGGCCTTAAACACAGATGGACTTATTTTCTTCGGACTATTCCCGACTCCCAGGATCTCATAAAACCCTTGGATAGTGCTATAAGCCATGTCCTCATACCTGCAATAACTGGGCGCAAGTGTAATCAACTGGANATATCTCATTTATCACTTTCACGGGTTCATTACGAATCAACTTAACGGCCTGCTCTCAGTTGGCTTGTTAGCTCAATTGGTTAGAGCGCTGCACTAGTATCGCAGAGGTCAGTGGTTCGAGTCCCGTACAGGCCTGATTTTTTTCAGGTCTGAATTTCGCTATTGCTCAAATAGCGCTATCTACTGCGAGGATCGTCCATCATACGTATCAAATACCGCAGTTCAAAATATATGATTTTCATATATTTATTCTATCTCATTTATCACTTTCACGGGTTCATTACGAATCAACTTAACGGCCTGCTCTCAGTTGGCTTGTTAGCTCAATTGGTTAGAGCGCTGCACTAGTATCGCAGAGGTCAGTGGTTCGAGTCCCGTACAGGCCTGATTTTTTTCAGGTCTGAATTTCGCTATTGCTCAAATAGCGCTATCTACTGCGAGGATCGTCCATCATACGTATCAAATACCGCAGTTCAAAATATATGATTTTCATATATTTATTCTATCTCATTTATCACTTTCACGGGTTCATTACGAATCAACTTAACGGCCTGCTCTCAGTTGGCTTGTTAGCTCAATTGGTTAGAGCGCTGCACTAGTATCGCAGAGGTCAGTGGTTCGAGTCCCGTACAGGCCTGATTTTTTTCAGGTCTGAATTTCGCTATTGCTCAAATAGCGCTATCTACTGCGAGGATCGTCCATCATACGTAGTTGATATTACCACTATACAAAATACAATAGGAATTAGATATAGATCAAAACTGTAAAATTTAGCCGGTAAATAACATACTGGAATCGCGAATAAGAATATCAAAGTGACGAATTATATAGCTCCTAGCCGCTACATCCAACTAAGATTTTACTCACGTTAAGCCTTCGCATCCTGCTCTTAAGCTGCCTAACTTCATTCAAATAGCAAAACCCGACTTGTTTTGTTCGCAGGAATGGACATGAAGTCAGGCAGGGAAGGAGGAACATGGATTGGAATGAAAACTGACGGCAAATTTGCTGCCACTACGTTTTACAGACAGTCGAAAAAGTTCATTGTCTCTAAAGCAAAAGGGAGAGGACATCTCGTTTCAGACTTTCTTAAGGGAGACGATGATGCTGAGAATTACCTCAAGAAAGTTCGTGACGAAGGAGACCTCTACAATGGATTCAATCTGTTGGTGGGCGAATTGTCGCCGAATGGTGAGACCAAGATGGGATGGTACTGTAACATTGAAGATAAACAAGTCACAATGTTGAAACCTGGGATTCACGTTTTATCTAACAAAACGTTGAACTGTTCTTGGCCCAAGATGGGTTATGGAAAAAAAAGATTCGCCAGGATAATAGAAACAACTTCAACTAAAGAAGATCTTGTTGACGAGCTGTTATGGATGCTGAATGCCCGGCAGAGGTTAGTACAGTTTTTGTTCTCGAAAACATGTGAAGGTCAGAAACTGATGGATTCTAATAAAGTGAGGGAAAGAAGTAACCGTCATTCTTTTGTTAAGCCACACACCAGGTCAGCGTTTGTACTCATTAGATTTTTTGCTGTGTTACGGTTTTCAGATCTTTTAGTGTCAGTTGCGGGGATCACAACAACTTTATTGCGGCTCAAGATGAAGGGTTTGATGACGCTATTATTGAAGCATCACGGGCAATTTTTGTCAGGCACCAAGTTATGAATTTTGGAACAAGGTAAGAATTGCATCAGTTATGTTAAGTAATGATGATAAAAAACTCAGTTATGATCATGTTCTTTGCTTCCCAAGGCTTCGGTTTCCATCACTTATAATACTAAAATTGACTTCTACTTATTGGCACTTATAATTCTAAAATTGACTTATACTTATTGGCAATTGAAGTATAATTGCGACAAGTGTGAGGTAATGAGGATATCCCACTCCAGAGACAAGTTAACTCCACAGTACAACTTGCTAAATCAGCCTTTAAGGGTAGTGAGCGATACAAAGGACCTTGGTTTATATTTTACATCTAACCCGGCTTTCATGGTCACTATAAGTTGAACTATGTTCAAAGAAAGCAAATGCTGTCCTAGGATATCTAAAGAGAAATGTTGGTACTAAGAACTTAAAGATCTTTTCCATGCTATACAAATCTATGGTTCGTCCTATTCTTGAATATTGTGCACCAGTTTGGAGTCCGCACTTGAGAAACGACATTTATGCTCTGGAAAGAGTTCAAAGACGCGCATTCAGGTGTGCCCATGGTAAAGACCTGTCTGACCAGGAAAGATTGAATATTCTACGGATGAGCGAAGAGAGTATCTATCACAGGTGGAATGTTTTAAGACAGTTCATAGTTTAAGTGGTCTAAATCCATCTTTATTTACTTATGCCAGTGCCTTTCGTCCTCTCCGCTCTAATCATTGTTACAAATTGAAAGTCAAATCAGCGAGATTAAATTGTAACAAGTACTCATTCTTTGTCAGAATCGTAAACCCGTGGAATAAACTACCTAAAGACGTAACTGAAGCAGAATCTCTGGGAACATTTAAGACCAAAGTCAAGAATTACCTTTTTTAATAATATTTTAAATAGTTTTACCTGATTTTAATCCTGTTCTTAAAGCGAACGAAATTAGCTGGAGCTTAGATTCTGATGGTGTTCCAATTGTTGTTCCAACTTCTATTATAACCAACGCTTACAACGAGATCGTATCCTTGTTCCTTATGGTCGAATTGGCAGGGATTTTAAAGAGGAACTTACATCTCGCATAAATGATTGGAATAATGGAACAGGCCCCCAGCACATATCATTGAAAGCCGTGTTCGTTTGCCTTGCCGTCGCACTGCAAAAACCAAGCCGAAAGTCAAAAGCAAAAGATCACCAGATTATCCTATGTAAACGCATTGAAAAGTAGAAAAGAGGAGAAATTGAAAGTTTAGTGTGAGAGGGAAGAATCATACAGAACCGCATCGGAAAGTTTAAAGGTGTAGACCCACCCAACAAGGCTAAGGTGTTTCCCAAGCTCATAATGGAG